AACACCCCTCAGTTGTTTTTGCTCTTGTTTCCTTTTGTGCGCATCATGTGTCATATACTTTGAAGTTGCTGAATTCCCTTGTCGACGTGGACAAAGCCCTCAGATTTTCTTGCACAAGTTGTGTGCGAACTTTTTGCCACGATAGTTGCCAAGTGTAGCCTTGATGCCTCACACCTTGTGTTGGAATGGGGGTGTATGCTTCCCATTGATTGACTCGTGGCAGGCTTCAACTGGCTTGCATGTTGGGAAAAGTACAGCTCATATGCATGTGTGGCATTGCTACCTTGTGTGCTGCTCTCTGAGTTTGAACATCTTTCCAGTCGTGTTGGGCTTCCTGCATCAGTTTTGTGTGTGGGAAGAATCTCAGAGAATATTCCTCACGAAAGGGGGACAGCTGCCTTTTCCTCACTTTGTTAACAGAATGGGCTTCAGTAGTATTTTTTGTTGTGCTTCAGACCAACTAATATAGGAGATGTATATGCAGATTCGCAGCTACTTGTCTGGTTCCCCATCAATAAAGATAAAGCTTCCTGACTCTGTGGTGGTGGGAAGGAGCGATCATGGAGGTATGGCCGGCATTATATGTGTTTGTTGATTTTGTTGCAGAAGTTTTGGCTACTCATTGTCCATTGAAACCATTGTGCTGCATCCAGATGGTTGCGCAACAATGCTGCCACAGTTGTTGTGTATTTTTGGGTTGTGCAGGAGGCGATGGCATGATTATTTGTGTGGCATTGCCTGCAAAGTTTTTGTTGCACAGTCAAAGGAAGTATCAGCTCGTTTCACGCACGGATGCCAAGAGGGTGATTCTTGGGAAATACTGGGAAGTCTATTTGTGGATAGAAGATGAGGATGAGTCGATTTAGTCATTGCAGGACTATTGACGGTGCTCTGTGCTGATTGGTGGCAGGATATGGAAATGCTATCATTCTGGATGATTGCAGTTTTCATGACTGTGCACAGCTGGAGATGTTCGACATTGACAGAAGCATATCACTCACACCCCCCGATGGTAAGTGCTCTTTGCCGAACTGCTGCGATGTGTTGAACTCGGGCTGCATAGCAAGTCACAAAATTGGCACCCCTCTTGAACACGTGCAGCTAACATCCGAGCTGCCAGCACTGTTGGCCTCTTCTTCGCGTATGTGGCAAATGCTACAATCGTAATGGCATGATTCTGCTGTTCTACTGGAAGACCTGACGACTCCATTCTGTGTCAAAGTATCCCAAGCGTTGTTGGCATGAGATGCACCACTTCACTGAATGATGTTGTTGTGCCTGAATTGCAGAGTGCTATGCCAATGTGCTGGCAAACTGCCTCACGTCATTTTGTTTCCTGTCTTGAGAATGCTTGAATGTGCCAAACCCCTTGTATCAACAATTTACCTTGCGGCGCAAGAAAACCAGGTGAGCTGCTCATAGTCATGTTGCCCCACATGGCGGCAAGCTTGCCAGAAAAACAGCTCAGGGCAGTAGTAGCCTATGCTCCACATCTTTGTATGGAAGTCGCTGTTGGCAGCACACTTCATCCAACATCGCCTTTAAGGTGCAAGGGCAGTGTTTTGTCATGTTCATGTGACAAATGTGATCAAAGGATCTGAGCACACTTCATTTTTCGGTTTTTCAGGGGAGTTTGCGCTGTTGAACTATCGCATTAATGCGGGTTTCCGTCCCCCATTTCGTGTGTACACGGCCATCGACGAGGACACCTCGTCGCCCCTGAAGGCATACGTCACCCTGAAGCTCAAGTGCGAGATCCCCAAGGAGCACATGGCCAACGGGTTGGAGGTGGAGCTGCCAATGCCGAAGTCCGTCAACAGGGTGAACTGCGATATGGGTTCAAAGGTTGGGCAGGTGTGGGATTGGAATGAGAAGGCGCGCAAGCTCCTTTGGCGGTTCAAGGCGATGAGGGGCGGCGAAGATGCAATCCTGAAAGTGCGGGCGACCCTTGATAAGGTAAGAGTTGGTGCGCAATCAGTCTGAATGAAGTTGGCAAGTGACTTTATTTGGCCCCAAGTATGACGACTGACTGCCAGCGCCCCTTCAGTACGATGAACGTCCTGTTGCAGCTGATGATGGTCTGAGGTTGAGGCCAATTGTTCCTTGCAGCCTGCTCTCTCTTTTTTCTCCTGATTGGAATTGGCGGAGGAGGAGAGTGGAAACAAACTGTTTGTATTTCGAATAATAGATGCATTGTCCAATCATGCAATTGTCCATCATGACCAGTCGGAGTGGACACTCTGCTGATCGGGAATAGATTGTCACGCTACATGCAGATAGCCACTCACGGCCAGTGTCCTTATCCACTGTGCTGACTTTTTGGCCAGGTGAATGCCCTTCATGAATTGCAATATGCAATTGTCCAGTATTGCTGTGTGCAGGTAAAACGGAAGCATAGGTTTCTGCTGAGGCTGTTTGGTCATTGTCTTGCAGCCGTACGGCTCCACATTCCGTCGAGAGGTGGGCCCCGTCAACGTGAAGTTCACAATCCCAATGTACGCCATCTCTGGGCTTCATCTGCAGTATCTGCACATCATGAGGACTGTTTGGAGTGCAAACACACAGAGGTGGGTGCGCTACGTGAGCACATCCTCGTCCTACATTTTCAGGACGTAACCAAAGGGGCTCTCGTCTTGTGAATCGCGGGCGGCTGTGGCAGGAGTCCCATCTTCAGTGTTTGCGTTTTCATCTGCCCTCACTCCGAAGGATGGTGTGTGGGAAGGATTGGTGTACAACAGAGTTGGCCTCCTGGGTAGTCCCAGTAAGTGGAGTTGTTTGATAGTCGAATGAGCTGCAAATTGCACAGACAGGGGTGGTAACACACCAGAGATAGGGCAGCTAATCTCCCCGGGGGGCAGTTGCATGTAGTGATTGGTAATCTGGTGCTTGAAACGGCACATTCATGGCATGCGGGGTTCAGGTGTAGTTCAGGACGTTGCAAATGTGTTGGATCGCAGCATGGGAGCAAAGAAAGCTAAGAACATTGGATTTTAATTTGTTGGCTGTAATTAACAAGGTGTTTCAGTCCTACTTCCCCCTCCTCTTCCTGTGCTACATTGGGCAAGGTCCTTGCCATATCTTTCCTTCCCTGGTACCACAATCTGTATTGCACGCCATGCACTTGAGATGGAGAGATGTTGTGTGCACTCACCTTTTGGATGAGACTGCTGCAGTTTGGTAAATGCAGCATATTTAACATGGTATCACCAATAGTGATTGCACATAATAGTGTTTGCACTGGCTTGATAATCTGATCCCAGATACGGGTAGTGAGTTGCCCAGCTTTTCCTGGCTACCGTACGGATTACCATGCTTGGGTGAAATCGGGGAGCCGAAGTCTCAATTCGTGTATCCTGGTGTCGAATGTCTGCCTGGGCCTTGTACCTGCTTGCTGAGGGTACCCAGGTAACAACACCTCTGGGCATGTTGCACCTGTGCAAGCGGTGTGTGGTGAAAACACAACTCGCTGCGTAAACTGGGAGCATAGGGAGGCGTGTGCAAGGGTGACATTTGGCGCTTGTGTCGCAGTACTCGTGGAAGAACGAGCCCTGCACGTTTAAATCAACTGGGATGAAATTGGCAACGGCGTAGCTATTGGAATGCTCCCAGATTTTAACACCTTGCTGCGACCGCTTCGTCCCTTGCCATATTCCATTCCAATTGCGATGTTTTCTTTTCTCCGTTTTTTGAAGCTGCGGTGCTGTTCAGATGGCCAAATTGGCACCGCTAGGTCCCAGACTGTTCCAAATACAGACCATGAGCACGGTGGTGGTGATGGAAATGGAGGCAGTGATGGTGACAGGGCCGGAGACAGAGACCAGTCAGGATTGGGCCATGGGGGTTTTAGGGTGTGTATGTACAATAGGGGTCCCTATATAGCGCCCCCCCAATAGCGCCCCCTTTTTTGGCTTGTCACCATTTCTGTAGTATTTTATGCAGCTTTGTTGCACAGTGGGACCTCAAACTAGTACAAAGTGCGGTCTAACGACCCCTGTTTAGCGACCTGTCTAGGTTTAGCGACCGCCCAAACGGCTTGTCGCCATTCCCGTAGTACTTTATTTCACTGCGACAGGCCCCAGCGCCCGCGACTTCGGCGCTGCGACTAACTCGCTGGCACCAAAAGCCAGTATGGGCCCAGTAGGCCGGGTGCAGCGAACCCCCTACATTGGCGGCCCAAGGTACCCCCTACACTGTACACCAGCGGCCATGGTACCCTGTACATTGGCGGCCAGTGTACCCTTTACAACGGCTGCTCTGGGTACCGCCCTTGACACAATAGCGCCCCCGGCCCCCCCCAAGCGCACTCCTTTTGGCCATGTCATAGGGACCCCTACTGTGCTGGGTCTCCGTCTCCATCACGGTGACCGCGCTCATGGCCCGTATTCGCAACCCCCTGCCCCCCCCCCCCCTCCTCGTGTGTCCAGAACGCCACCCGTCCACCCCAGCGCTTCCACAGCAGCCAGAGCGCCGCCTTGGCCCAGCCACAAGTTCACAGTGGTTTCAGTGCCGGCCACCACGCCCACACGCTTGTGCCCGTCACGGGGCTGTGACAAATGGCAGCGGTTGCACTTTTGGCCCACCGATACGGCTACGAATTTTTGCCCAGAATGTCTTTTGCCTAATTGTCACTGCCCCCCTTCTCCTGGGACCACAGCAAGCACCAGCAAAGATGCCATTACCACTCCCAAGAAATGCTGATTGTATTACGAGTCCCAAGATACGACTTTCCGCCCCACAGTTGTCAGCCATTGGCAAAGAAAGCGCGCGTGGCTGGCGTTTCGCGCCAAAAAGTTGATCTGTTCAGCGCACACCTCAGCGCCCCCGCCTGCCCCCAGACTCTCGCGCGATCTGTGGTCGCGGCGCGGACGAAGCGACAGCGCCGTGCCTGACCCACAAGACGTGACGGCCGCGCGGCCACTTCTTGGGCCCCCCCTCCCTCCCCGCCACCCCCCGCCGCCAGACACCCCGGCACGTTGCAAGATCCGCGATCGCTGCCGGCCATGCAGTCCGGCCGAGGGGCGTCCCATCAGGGCTTGCCACAGACGGAGCGCCTGGCCTCGCAGCTGGGGGCCCAGCGGCGCGGCGGCGCTCAGCGCTGCCGATCCGCTGCCAACCTTAGCCGATTCCCCGACGTGAAGCATGCCGATCAGGGCGCGGCCGATGCGCTTGAGACCCGGTCCATCCCGAGCCCAGCTTTGGCGCTGGCGGGCGGCTACCTGCCGATGATGCCGAAGCGGTTGACGGTGGACCTGGAGCTTGCGGCGTGGCTGGAGGAGAGCCAGCGGACGCTGGAGGGCCGCAGAGTGCAGGGAAGTCTTCTGGATCACTGCCTGGCAACGGGGGCGACCGGGCCTGAAGGCGCGCTGGTGTGCGAGTTTGGCGTGTTTACGGCCAACAGCCTGCGGCGCATCGCGTCCAGGCTGCCCGATCGGCGCGTCTTCGGCTTCGACAGCTTCGTGGGGTTTCAGGAGGACTGGGAGCTGCCCGGGGGGACTGTGAGCAAGGACTTCTTCCACATCGAGGGCAGCGCCTGGCTTGACGTGGGGGACAACGTGGAGCTGGTGAAGGGCTTCTTCAGCGAGTCGCTGCCCGCGTTCCTGGCGGCCAACCCGGAGCCCTTCGGCTTCGTTCACATCGACTGCGACCTGTACACCTCCACGCGGGACATCTTCGACCTGGCCGGGTCAAGGTTCCAGCCGGGGACGGTCGTCGTGTTTGATGAGTTTTTCTGCCACGGCGCGGACAACCGGGGCGAGTTCACGGCGTTCTACGAGTGGACGCGGCGGACGGGGCGGCGGTTCGAGTTCATCGGCGTGGGGGACGGATCGCACGAGCTGATGACGCGCATCCCGAAGCTGGGCGAGCCGCAGTTCATGGACCGCCTGGGCGCCGCGATCGTCTTCAGGGGCGTCAAGCTGCTGCGGGGCAAGGCGGACTTCGCTACTTCCGTGGCCGTCAAGATTCTGTGAGCTCAAGTTTTGAGAGGAGGGCCGTGGGCCGGGGAGAGACGGGAAGGTGGTGGTGGTGTGGGGCGCCAATTCGTTTCAATGTTATTCATTTGAATTCTTTGCGTCCTGGCACACGCAGAAGGCAGGCGACACCTCCGGGGATTGGAGGCACAGCTGGGTCAGGTGAGGGGGCGCCTGTGTGGGGCCGCCTGTGGGTTGTTCATCTGAAGCGCTCTGCTTTGGTGAACGGGTGCACCCTTGCAGTCTGTCGTTAGTTGATTCCAATTTGGGACACAGTTGTTGCGGACTGGAGCACCGTCGTGGCGTAGCTTTGGGGTAGTCAGAAGTTTCAAACTCAGTACACTCTTCTCACAGAAAGTGTCAAGTCCCTTCTGGAGGCTGTGGCTGTGCTGAGGCGAAATGAACAAATCTCAATGAGTCATTTGTCTTGACATCAGTTGACAAAGCTCATCAGTTGAGACATACCTGGGAATTGTTAATGGAACATGTGAAGCCAACTTCAAGCTTTTGGGAACTGTTTGCAAGCGGCAGCCTGGTTGGGTGCTCACGACTGTGGTGATGCCTACGAAGAAAATGGCATCTCTGTGTAGATCACTGCAAATGAATAGCATTTGGGAAGCCTTTCTGTTGCCCTTGCAGAGGTCACAATCTGTGAGGAGGCAATATTTGCACCTGCGATGATGTGGAACTGCATTGGACTCGAAGCCATGTGGAATGGAAAAATAGAGCCGGATGCCCCAGGATTCAAGATCATATTAGAATCTGGGCACTTTGAGCTGGATTTCAGCATGGCAAAATGGCCCTGTGGGCTTGGAATTCGCCTGTGCCCTCCAATGCTCTCCCCGCATTTAGCAGCACAATTTGTTTCGGGCTGGTATTGGGCCTTGTGACTCTGGTGTTGCTGGTCACAGCTGCATCCACACTGGCTAAGGATGCCATCAGCATATCATTTTCTAAAAGCAGCCCAGGTAGCACCTCACTTGTGGCCCCAACGCTAAGAGAGAGGGTATGATACAGGCCCACTGGATAGTGTGCATAAATTGGGCAGCAAAATGGCGGCAAAGACCTAAGGCACGGGCTTGGGTGCAGAGGGCCCTGCACAGAAGGCATCGAAGCCGTCGCAGAGTTATCATGGCCACAAACAGGCCAGAACACTTCGGCTGGCACAGGGAAAACCGCTGTTCATAGTACAAAGCGCAGCCGACCTGCTATGCAGAACCTCATTCAGATAGTCATATGTTTCAACAAGGCACGTTGTTGGACAGTTTCGAATGGCCATCTTCATCTGTAGATGAGACATGTACTTACCACTCGGGGGCCTTGACACCGGTTCGGCTGGCATCGTCTGAAGCAACTGCCATCGTGGAGCCAACGGCCTGACATCGGGCCTGCCATGGGCCAAGCTGTGAAGGCAGTTGGCCTTAAATAAGCAATTGGCCTTGAACAAGGCATTGAAGAAACCAGAATCAAAGCCATGAGCATCCATTCCTGTTGCCCCAATGTCGCATTGGAGTGAAAACAGAGCAAAGAGCCCACAGACCCAAATCTGTGGCATAACGTCCTGTCCAAATCTCCCTGGGTGCCCGCAGTGAGCACCCTTTTGGCTGCACAACTGGCGTCTGTTCCACTCGTCGCGCTCCCAACTCGTGGACGTGGACTGCTCACAAGCACATAATCTGGTCGCCGCCCGTGGTTGTAGACTTCGGATTTTCAGAAATCCTCGCGATCAACGCTGGTGTTGAGGTATTGTGCAGAAAAGAAGCCACTCTACACACTCCGCATCCGAGCCTTTGCATTTGTCCAAATCACCGGCGCTGACTGGCCACATTGCCGATACAATTCAAAGCATTTCCTTGGTTGATGGCTCCCCCAAACTTTTCAGGGGTCTGCAGTTCGGCTTGGTGTCGCTAGGCGCCGGCAGGCAGCGGGCCACCAGACAGGACAGGAGTGCGGTGGGTCACCCCGCGTCGGGGGCGTGATCCAACATGGTGAGCCACAACAATGTGGTCCCCAATGCCCACTTCAAGAAGCACTGGATGCGCCGCGTGAAGACATGGTTCAACCAGCCAGCGCGCAAGGCCAGGAGAAAGAGAGGTAGCCAGACATCGACCGCACAAATTGATGATCCCCCAAGGGCCGAATCCCCGCTTGCAACTGATCTGCACTTGCTTTTTGGGCTGCGACTTGCGGCGGCCTCCAACCGTGGCAACTGCCTTTCTGATGGCGGCTGGCCGGTGTGGGCAGGGGACCGTGCGGAACCGTGCCGCATTGCTAGCGTATTTGATCTGATGTCGATGAGGGAGGCGGAGCGCATGAGTTAAAGCTTGCGGCTGAGAGAGTGCTGTGGGGATCCCGAACATTGTTTCTTGTTGCGACTCGCAGCCAGGGTCCTGAAGGCGAAGCGGACGTTTCCCCGCCCATTGAAGAGCCTCAGGCCCGTTGTGCGGTGTCCCACCGCGAAGTACAACAAGCGCCAGAGGCTCGGCAGGGGATTCACCCTGGAAGAGTTGAAGGTTGGTGGCAGATTGTTGGTATTGATTCCTTCATGGTTGTCTCCGTTGCGGGCGCTCGTTTGGAGCTGGCCTTGGGCGGTTTTGCTAGTTCTCCGTTTTAATCTTGCCCGTGTGATGCTCCCAAACGTTGCAGGAGGCCAAGATCCCACCCAAATTTGCCGCTACCATCGGCATATCTGTTGACCACAGGAGGAGGAACCGATCGTTGGAGAGCCTCCAGGTTCGAAACTGCCAGGGGAAGATGGTTCACAGAAAGGATAAACCATGTCATCCGGTGACATGCACGAGACTGTTGGGATGTGCACGTGCTCAAATGGAAACAGAGATGGCTGTTCCTTGTAAAGGCTTTCATGTCCACGGGATGCTGATGCATTTTTTGCCAAGGGTGGTGAACATTGCTGTCAACTGACTGGCACGATTATCGCATAGATCCATTCGATGGAGCTGACGTCCAGGCCCCGGTCTAAGTCTGATCAGTGGCTATGCATCTGTGCCAGATGAATGTTGCGCGACTGAAGGCCTACAAGAGCAATTTGATGATCATCCCACGCAACAAGAAGCACCCCAAGGTGCAATACAATCTGCCTGTCCTTTTCTCGTGTCATACGATATTGTGTCTTCCAACACACCTTCTGTTATTAGTGGCAGTGAAAATTGCTGTGATGACTTGCATTTCTGCAGAAAAAACAACTGATCGTCGGTAATGTCTTGGTCTTGGATGAATTTTTGATTCTTTATACTTCGACCTGTCCCCTCCGGAATGTCTTTCACTGATTCCTGTGTTTTCTCAGCTCTGAATCTTGAAAGAGCCTTGTGTGGAGGACGCTCTGTTGAATAGGACAGGTGCTTACCCTGTTTGTGTTTGCCAGCCTTTCGAATGCTCGATGGACGAGGTCAAGACAGCAACCCAAGCGCTTGGGAAGATCATGCCTGTGGAGAAGGAGAAGCCTGCTGTGGAGTATGCTGCAGTGACAGAGGAAATGAAGGTACAACACAGCTCTTGTGTTTCCTTTATCTTTCACTTTTCTTCGAGGCTGCCATGTACCAACCACAGTTTGGTATCAACATGGGCCATTTGAAGTTGTGTATGATATCTATGACCCGTTGAATATCAACAACAAACACGCGTCCGAAGAATTGTAAGGAATAGGTTGTTCATTGTGTGGGGATACTGACCCTAAAATAAGTTCTGTATTATAAGCATTGCCCAATAGAGGGCATTGCATTTTACCCTGTGGTGTGGGTAGTCTCTGTGTGTTCGCCCATGTGATGGGTGATGTCCCTTGGTATTGGGATAATGAAGCTGCCAACACCAAGTCACCAATGCCTCACTCAAAGAGGTTTCAAAACAAGTAAAACATGCCACCGATGGCTGCGAGTGAGCTTTTGGCCTGTGGCCATGCACAACTAACAGTTTACGTTGCCCCACCCACTTGCCCGTTTGGGTCAGCCTTATTGGGTTTATGGCCCCAGAACATGCAGCTGCAGAGCAGTCCATCCACTATGATGGTACCATATGGTGACTCCGGTGTTTAACAGGTGTAAGAGTACACAGAAATGCGAAATGTTGTGTGCAATTTTGCTGGAGCACCCGAAGCAATGTTATACACCATTAAGGTAACCCAATTAGCCAGGCGTTGTCACCACAACAATACTTTTGAAAGAGATGGCGAGGGCTGTTGGGCGATGGGTAATTGATAATCTGTGATTTGTGAGAGGACTGATTATTCCATTCCGCAGATGCTATTGGCACATTTGCAAGTGCGCTTGGGCCAAGGTTTTACTCTGTCACTCTGTTTGCAACGCTGCTGTTTATGACTTTGCTCTCTTTGTTTTGGTTCCACTGAAGACATCAGCCTGCCTTGGTTTGCTGCAGAATTTCCGAGCCTACACCAAGCTTCGCATTGCGCGAACCAACCAGAAGCTGGCGTACAAGCGCGCCAAAAAGGCCGAAGAGGAAGCGGAGAAAGCCAAGAAGTGATTGCAGTACTTGTACTAGCAGGAATCGATTTAAACTACATTGTTCTGACGTTCAAAGATGTGAGAAACGAGCGTTGCATTTTCGAGGCCATCTGCCCTTGCAGAGGCTGACTTGAGGCAGGCTCTTGATACGGCCTGTCAGCTCAAACGATGCACCTGCGTTAATCTTGTCCTGAGATTGTGTGCATGGCCATCTGACCTGCAAAGCAAAGTAAACGCCGATTAAACTGTTGCTCAGCCTCACGGAGTACCAAAGTGCAGATGATGATGTGTTTCCGCATTAATAGCTTGCGGGTGCCCAACCCCTTGCATCACAAGCGCCAATCAAGAGTTGTTGTGTTAGACGCGAGCCTATGCCGCATAGGCTATGCGACGCACTTGTACACAGAGTCTGTGTCACAGACTAGGCTGGCGATGTGCGGCAATGAACCGCCACCAACAAAGAAACACAAAGAACAGGTAGACTGCACCTCAGAGAGCCAATCACCCATCCGTGTACAATGCGGTATTGGACAAACGCGCTGCCAAACAATGTAAATGACACTGAGAGGAACTGCAATCTGAACTCTATATCACACAGAAGCGATTGCCTGGAGTACAGCCCGCTGGCGGCGGGAAGATTGCCCGAAATATAGTGGCAGACACTGCATAGGCACACATGTACTTGTGGTACGGTTGCAGCTCGTTGGAGACATGCTGGCAGCTCCAAGCGCAAAGCAAACATGTTGCGGCCACTGCGTTGGCTGTTGGGGATGCCAAACTGCGAGTTTCTTACTTTTCATCTGTGGATGCCAGCTGCACACTGAACGCTCGAGGGAGCTCGTTGGGCGAACCTACGGTGGTTTGGTCCGCTCTCTCGCTTATGTCGATTTGGGGACAAATACGCAGTCTCCTGGCGTCAGACGCACGGAGCCCTCCCTTTTCCGTCAATTTTACGGTAATCGTGGCAGAGTTGCCCTAACATCAGCTCTCTCGCAACAAGTACAGAGTCTAGAGCTGCTCCACGTCTAGAATGGAATGGAGATCATTGTGGCAGCTGCGCATTGTCCGCCCTTGTGTGGCGTGTGCGCACTCCTGCATTGTTTCTCATTGAGAGCAAGCCATGCAGGCGCGGGTCCAGGCAGATTTGCACAAGACAATGCGCGGTACTCCGCCCCTGCGACCGGCATGTTGTTTCTTGTATGGCCCTGGCTCCACACTCGGGCCGGCCCCGTGCAGCAAGACCATCGGCAGCGGCGTCCACTCAAACCACTCGGCTGCCATCATGTTGAGGTGACCCGCTTAATTGCTGGGCATTATGCGAACAATGTACTAAGATGTTGCCAGAATGGATCCAGAAACTGCACCAACCGCACCCCAACGTCGTGCCTCTGCTTGTGCCCCATTCCCTGCGCTTGGTCGCGCAGGTGCCGGCCGCCATGGACCGGCGCGATCCCGCGGCCTTCAACAGTGCGTCGCTGGGGGCGATGCGATGCCGCTACGAACGGAACGATGCCGACACGGAAGAGACACTGCCCAAGAAGCTGTCCAAGCTGTTGCTCGTGAGGCAGGTGGGGGGTGGATGTCATCTCACAGTCGCGATTCAACGTTTACGTTGCACCCCTTGGGGCCTCGGGTATCGGTCGAGCGCTGAACTCAGCTTCTTAGATGCCTGTCTTGGCGCCCAATGCCAGCCCCATTTTGGTTGTGGGACGGGTGGAACATTCCATCTGGGCCTCAAGTCGGGTTGTGCGGCCCTTGTGTTTCAGGCAGCTCAGTGGCGACTATGTGGCGCATCACAACGGGGACCCGGTGGCAACAGTAAGGAAACAGATGTTGAGACTAATATCGGTGAGCCACTGTTGGCTACATTTTCAGTTGCGGATTGAGCTGAGTTGACACAAAGGAAAAGGAACGCCCCTTACGATATGCACAGCTGCAGCAGGTTGCCCTTGTCAGAACCTCAGAGACAGAGCATTGAAACCTTAATGAGCAACAAAGCTTCCCCGACCATTGAAGCAGACTTCCTAGCAAGTTCACCCTTGTTTGCACAAGGAAAACCTCATGCTGGATCAACAGGGGCTGAATTCCCTATGTCAGACCTGTAAAGGGTGTGCGCTGGCAGTTTCGTGGCTGAGGCATTCGCACACAGAACAACAGTCATTACTAGCCAGTGCTGAGCCAGCAGCTGTGTCCCATTGTTGTGAGACAGGTCCTGGAACTGGGCAAGCTGATGGCTGGATTGAATTGGAACCGAAGTTCCCTGTAGAGGCTGTTAAACTGACTGCATCGTTCAGGTAGGTAGCACCAGGTCGGTTTCTCCAACAAAAATTAGACATTATGTCAATATTGGTGTGATGTCTGGAGAAATCACACAAACGCTTTCTATCCGGACATCGCAATTTGAACACATCACAGATTGACTTGTGTGAATTTCAGTGTGTACTTCTCGGCAGGTACATGTGCTTGTGCCTTGGGCAGCAGCCCACAGAAGCAGATACTGGGATGCACTGCTTGCATTTGATACTGCTGCAAATCTGCACAGGTGATTGTTTGCAACCATGACAGACAGAGCCAAACTTTACAAGGTTTGCCACTCCTAGCAGGTTCTCATAGTTTGGCAAAGTCTCTTGTTACATTATGTTTGATTTAGCATGCATTCGGCAGGTACATAAGTACTTTCGGCAAGTGCTGGTCCAGCCCATCACCTGCACAAGTATGTGTTCTCAGTTCTGCTGTATTTCACATTGCAAAGTTTGGCAACACAATGCCCCTGCATTTCCAGGCAATGTCAGGTGGTTTTTGCAACACCCGGATCCTGTGCACTCTGCAACTTGAAGCAAAAATCCAAATGCTGGTATGTAAGCCTGTGTTTGACCACAGGCCCTGCAGGAAGCACATGCTTATGTAGCTGGACTCTGCAGCTTTGTACCCAGCTCACAGATTGTGTGCCCTTAATACCACAATTTCCACAATTTGAATCTGCATACTGCACAGCCCCTTGACGGCCCTTCTATCGGGAACTATTCTGTCTGGTTCTATGCACAACTCTCAGCTTTCCAGGTCGGTGCAACGTGACACAAGGGAAGGTTATTGGTTGCGGTCCATCAGTTTGCATCCTTCAGTTGGCATCCCTCTTTTGCACACCATGACATGCTCACAACTTGTCACAAACTGATGCCCAGCAGATGGAATTATCCTGGAAACCTGTATCACCCATTCTAGCCACACAGCCCACCAGTCTATGGAGTTGTGCATTCAATACAACAAGCGATGCCCTCAACTGTTATGCAACGTCTTGGAGTAAAGAGACACCAGCAATTTGTTCAAGTCGCTGAGAATCCTGTTGAAAGATTGTGGTATCCATGGGAAGCAGTGTGCAATTGACACAGTTTATGGCACCTGTGCTTGCTGAGTTCAGTTCATCAGAGAGAGTTTGTTTTCCTGTCCGTCTGCAAGGATCTCACAATGCCTGGCATAGAATGCATGTCACCTCCCACGCCATTACTGTGCACAATGTGCACAAGTTTTCAGACAGCAACCAACTCAGGGCATTCCTCAATCTTGATCCAGCCCCAATCAATCTCACAATACTTTCTGAGGCTGCTATGGAATGTGAGGGATTTCCAGCACCCAACATGTGAATCAATTCCTCATGTCTTTGCAGTGAACCTTCAACAACCCCCTTCTCTTGTTGGTTGGACTCCCGCATTTACAGAGAGCCCACAAGGACAAGCATTGCCCAATCTGGATGGTTGCTTTGAAGTCCTAGAAACTAGGTGAGAAGCGCGCAGGTTACGGCCCAGCCAGTGGGCTTAATCTATTCAATTGTTGCGCCTTGATTGCACTTTGTCAAAACGTGGCATTGTGATGGACGTGCATCCAACATGCAATTTTGAGCCAAACTGTTAGTGCTGCTGGTGGTGTTTGAAGAAATTGCAGAGACTTGGAAGGGATGCTCTGGTGCGAGAATGGTGCCAACTGTGCAGATTTGCAAAATGTGATCATCCGTAGATTCCCGATTCTGCTGCATACCTCCAAAGCATGACTGGCTGGCAGCTACAAACAGAAGGCTATGCAGTGAGGGTGCAGCTTTCTTGCCATTTTTTCTGATGCATCTTTGGGCATGGTGGTGCAGATGTGGCCCAATGGTGGCGTTGTGCGGTGGCATTTCGGTCAGCCAACAGTCTTCTCAGCCATGGCAGCACACTGTGACCATACTGGCACCCAAGGATCAAAGGCTGCAAGCAAGAACGATATTGGAGGCTGACGGGGTGAGTGTACACTACCTTGGAGTGCACAATGTCGCCTTTGCTCATTTTCTCAGCGTCAGCACCGTGGAACCATGCTGGAACATGAGGGCCCCTTCAAATTTCCCGTACTTGCTTCATCTTCAAATTTTGTACCACGATTTGCACACAATGCAGTGGAAAGGGACGCAGTGGGTTCTTTTGAGCCTAAACAAAGCAATTTAAAAGGGAGCGATTCCATGGAGACTAATGGCCTTTTGTGTGCTTATCATAACTGTGCATGCGTGCTTTCCAGGGAGTGTTGTGGTGCCTGAAATGCTCAGATGAGGACTTGTATGCTGCAGGTAGGGTGGTGTACATGCGATCACTGTATCTAAGAATAACCGACAAGGGATTGCCTTCATGCCTGGAAGACGAAGTCGCCCATAAATTTGCACACACAATGTCCACAACACGATTTCCATGTGTTCCAAATCTGAGTTGAATGGTTTGTATGGTCGCTGAGCGTATTCTCCTGCCCTCATGTTGGAGGGAGGGCGGTGTAGCACTCGGGAGGCGAGCGCGTGAGCTCCACCCGCTATTGGATGCATAACAACAGGCTGTGCAAGTACATGTGGTTTTTGTTTCTATGAGTGTTGCGATGATAGTGTCCCATCGCATGACAGGACCCCCCACTCTGCCAAAGGTCAGCAGAATCTTCGTGCACGTGTTGAGTGTGCCTCGTGCCCAGCTATTGCCAACTGTGTTTGCGAGGGCTGTCGTTTCCTCTAATTGCAGTCTGCTGACAAGCTGACTGTGAAAGCAGCGTATGCAAAGCAAGCATTTTAATGCAAAGCAAGTATTCTTGTCAAGGATTATTGCTTACAAGATGCAAGGGTGGTGCTTCGTAGTCTATCAACCAGAAGCAAGAGAATTTGTGGCTTGGGGGAACAGACTGCATGACAGGCTTCTCCAAGTGACGTCCTCCACCATTGGCGGCCATTGTCAGTGGGCCAATCCTCACCCAATTTGATAGCAGCCATTGATGCTGGTCGAAGTCGACAGTTGTGGCTTCTGGAGCCCATCGACCCGGCAGTTGCAGTGGGCTTCACATGCCATGCGTGGGGAGTATTTATGGTGCATTGTCAGTACAAGCAAATTGAATTGAGCCAACGAGTAAGCATTACATGTGGATTTCGGCGCATTTGCAAGCATGCACAAAAAGGGCGAGACAAAGCACCTGGCAGGTGATGACGGGCACCTGTGGCCAAACGGGGTGCGAACACAGAGACACTAAGGAATACACATGTCACAAACTACACGATTCCCTGCTTATGTTGTCGGCGTTGGCACATGATAATGGTGCACCTCCGATTCAGCAACAGGACAAAATGCAATGCATTATCACGAATGGCTCATTTCAATCCCAACACGGGGAAAGTTTGACATGCAGCCCATCATGTGTTTGTGATGTTCTGGTGTGGAGGCGACGATGGGCAAGGACAAATCTGGCATGTTTCAAAGGACTGGAAAACCAGCCGTTCCAAGCTCCCCTTGCAACAAGCACGCTGCCACGGCTACGCCCTGGACATCATCGTGATGCTCAGGGTCGCCGAAGTGGACAACGGCACACTGCTGGTGGGCCTGTCCAGCCTTGGCTCCTTGGCAGTTTGGAATTCTCAGAGGTGAGGGTGTCCGGTGGATACCTCCCCTTTGCCTCATCAGTTTCGAGGGTTCTTTGATAGGTTTACTACATACGCTTTACTACTATAGGTTTGCTACATAGATTTTACTACTACTATAAGTTTACTTACTCCAGGACAGCGATGTACACAAAGAAGCTGGAATACCATGCATTTGTTTATGCCGCATATCAGCAGTTGCGGATGTTAACAGGGTGGAACGGCCCATGATCAGCAACAGACATTTGATGTTTGCCTCAGCCCAACGACGCTCTCACAGTTGCAGGCAATCCGTCACATGCGCATCTACCATGTAGACATTCCGGGGCAGCCTAGTATCAAACTATTTTCGGCCGCAGCTCATCTCTCTACAATGGAGTGTGTGGGCCGGATTTGGGCCTGAAGCCCTTTACCACAGGCAAGAGTCGATCATGTTCACCCTTACATAAGGTGACACCTTGTGAACAACCACAGCGGCGTGATTGCAGATCCGCTGCTGTGAGCTGGTGAAGTCGGGTTTGTTCAAGCACGCTTGTTGGAGGCGCTCGTGATTCTTACACGTGCTAAAGCAACACAACCTTCCATGCGAATAGCTGCGAAGTTTGTCATTCGCGATGTGTCATTGCTAGCTCTCTGGAATGCCACGCTTGCGTTTTATGAGGCTGTGACTCATGACATGCCCATGGTGCACTGCCTTGTGGCTTTTGCAAAGGCGTGTGTTTTGATTCAAGTACAATGACTTCCTTGCTGTAATGCACACGTACGGCGGCCATACGCTCATCGTCTCATTTGTTCAGCATCTTGCTCTTCTTGGCTGCAACTGCATCGTCCATTTCACCTCCGCTACTCCCCCTGGACTGCCCAGGGGGAAGCCAATCGCCGGCAGACCTAAACCCCTTTACCATTCGTCGATAGTCTATATATGCATACAATCCTCTTTTCTCATTTTTTCCTTATCTCTATTTGATCTCCTCTCTGTTTTACATTTGATCCCTGTTTTTGCTAATTGCTTGTTTTTAACCTCCTTATTTTGTAACTGCAGTATTTCATCCGCTAATTCTGATTACTTCCATTTCGCTGCAGCGGCTGCCTCCTCACCGCCGTGCATCACGCCACATGCCACGTGCGCGACCTGCAGGTCGTCGACGCCCCCCGCCTAGCTGCCAGAAACCGCCGCTCGCGTGGCTCAGATGCGGACGACCACGCCCTGGACGCGCAGCCGCTGGTGCTGGTCGCGATCATCACGCGTCATAGCGCCCCCTCCCAGGGCCCCCGTTTGGCAGCGGCTCTCCTGCGGCATGGCATCCTGGACGTGGGAGAGCCGTTCGCTTTGCAGGTGGGCATTGCCGCGCCCATTGCCGAACAAGGAGGGAGTTCTGTTGTTCTATTATTATGCTATTGTTATTCTATTTTTATTCTTTTGCTTTTTTGGGGCACAGCCACACACACACACTGTAGAAAACGTGTGTCGTATATGCACCGCTCGAGCGAGCATGTTTGCGGAAGAAATGTGTATTTTTGTTCAATTACTGGAGCAGATATGGCAGTTGATTTGTGTCTGGCAGCGGCAAGGATGCGGATATTGCGCCAGTCCAAAACCCAAACACGGCCACAACATCACCACACAGCGATGTCACTGGCCAAAACATTTGCACACTGGTGTTTGCGACAAAGGGAACTTGGTAATTGCTGCCATGGCAAGCGTTATCCTTATTTTCATTTTTTTGTGTTGTTGTGTTGGTGTTCTTCTGCCGCTGCAGGACTCTGTTTCCTGTGCGTCATCAAAAGCAAGAGATGAACATTGGCACATTGAGAAAACTAACGCACAGTAATTGCCTTCCCTGTTCGTCGCCAGGGAGTCTGCCAGATGGACGTTTCACAGGACAATGGGCTTGTGACAGACTCGCACGGTCGGATGCATGTGTGGAACATTGCGAAGGTACGTGCGCTTGAAGATCTGTTGCCCCCACAGTGCAAACTTTCTTCACTATATGGCGTCGTCTGGTGCGATCTATTGTCTCATACCGCCTCTTTTAACCTCTGGTGCAATTGCTGTCAAACGCGTCGATGCGGTTAACCCCACACCAAGAGAGGTGTGGTTCAAACAACCTGTTTGCTCGGATTTTTGTTTTCTTGCTTTTTTGGTGTGATCCTGTTGTTTTGGTGACAACAGCGATTTCCATCCTTTTAACAACAATGTGACATTAACGTTGTCAATGCTCCATGGCTGGAAGCCTCGTGGCTGTCGCTAATGCTGCTGTGTGCGAGTTGGTTGCAGGGCTGCACCGTGTGGACGTCGGAGTGTCTGCCAGATTCACGCATGACGGCAGCGAAGCTCTCTGCTGAGCATGGCATCGCCGTTGCAGCAACAGCCGATGGGCGAATCTCGCTGCACAGGTGGCTCAAAGAATGAAATTGCGTTTCCAGTCACCAATTCATTGACAACGCAAAGTGGAACTCATGCCTGCCTCTGGCTCTCGCTTGATATGTAACATTGCCAGTGGACGAATTATGCGCGCGGAGGTATCTGTTGGTGAACGGGCTGATCTTGCTCATATAGTTCCTGTGCCAGAATCACAATACTGAATGGGTTGACTTGATTTTCTGCTGTATACTCCAACGTTGCATGCACAAATTTGGGTTAAACTGCAGTAAAAACTGAAACCTGTATGATGTAGAAGTAATGCGCCAACGGCAATGACAACGACTAATTTGCGGCCGAGGAAGCAAGCTCAATGGCATGGCCACAATTTGCGCTCAGTGATGTGCATCCCCTTCAACAGCGCAGAGCAGAGTCTCACAAGCAGTGTACAGCGGGTCTGTGTGCCCACTGCATTCACTGTTTCCTTTGGGTCAGGAAAGCAACCTTGTGTCTATAAGGGGAATGTGAAACAAGGTGAAGCCATGCACCAATACTGCCATTGCCATGGCTGCCAACCGTGAGAGGTGCCAGTCGTATGAATCTTCAATCCCGACTCCACACGTGCACCGCAGTGGTGTATGGAATCAGGTTATTAGGGAACGCACAAACATGTGTTATATGTCACGATCTTGATGCTGCCAGAGCTCGGATTCAGCACTTGACAGATGTTGACAATAGTACCCGCATGTAGTGTTCACCAAGTGTAGTCCACGTATGTAGAAGCTTCAATTGTGCAAGAGAAGGGTAGTCACAAGATCACTCATGGTGTGAGGCAGTTGCTCCAGAAAAGTGTCAGCATCCGGATCATTATTGAAATTTAGTGTATCCCAAGAACTGGTGTGGTGCAGATGGCCAAACTCGTTGAAATAACAATAGCAGGATCGTGGTTGTGCGATAAGAAACACAAACTCTGTGCATATGGCTGCTACTCTCATTCTCAAATTTTATGAATCTGGGGGCAAAAACAGATTTCTGCAGCCAATTTTTTCACAGCAATGATCAGCGCTGTTCATTCGCATTCGAAGACAGCGGTGAGGATGACGCATCCCAGCAATTCGAGACCTGGTCCATGCAAGTTTGACCAGAGTGTGTCTCACAAATGCATCGTTCAAGCAATCGGCTGCATTTGTCACGTTTTCAGCCAGCTGCTGAAGGCAGCCATGCACGCTCTGCAGTGTCGTCCACAACTGAATGCCAGGCAGGATACCTGCAGCCAACAAGGGGATCTGAAAGGGGAGCGGGGGTGGGGGAGAAAATCCATTCCCTGTACTCTGGCAGTGCGCACAAACACCACTGCTGCGCCAGCCACGATTGGTACCTTCCTGATGCATTCAGCAGTCGCCTCAATGACCGATGGCATCAATGATGTCACCACACATGTGACATTTCCTGAGTGGTGTCCAAGGCATCTGCGACTCACTGTGGATAGCATTCATGCAAATGCCCGCACATCACCGACACAGGCTTGTCACCGGCACTGGCCACTTGGAGGCAATATCCATCGCATTTTTCACGCCCCTTACACGTCACTTGTCTGTACATCGCTATCCAAAGGCTGAAAAAAAAGAAACCTGTCTGCTGGCACGCGCCAAAGCTCTTTATTTTGACGTCAGGAGTGTCCAGACGTCAACCTAATAGTCTGCCCTCACTATGAGTGCATCTGCGCACAATGATATCTGGCAATCTACCAGCTGCAACCTAGCCTAACATGCACCCTCATCGCCTGCTTATGATTTGTCCATGTTGAAAAATGCAATAACAGGAATTACACAGAACACGCACCCCAGCCCCAAAAGGGCTGTGCGCAAAACTGGCAACCAGGTCGGGACCCTTCCAAAGGCACAATGTACACCTGCGGCAGGGCGAATGCCAATTGCCCCTCACCCATCGAACTCGTCGTCTTGTGTAGATTCCCCTGCTGCCTCGGTAAAAAATTCCGTGACATCAAGTCGAAACACCAAAAACCTCAAGTCTGCAAGGGCCTGCACCGGCAGATCCTTCGTGAACTGGTTCAACAACACCTCATACTCCAAACACACGTTGTCGGTGACCCGCTTGATGTCCACATAATCCCCCTCCGGAATGTCCTTCTCGGGCACCACGTCCCCCTTGACTGTGCCCCACCCACCCTTCCGTGTCCTCTGCTGCACCTTTTGCCTTTGCGCCTTGAGTGCCTGCACTGCCATCTCCACCTCGCTGCTCAGGCGCTTCACCACCCCCAGCAGCCGAAACACGCACCCAAAGATCTCCTCCAGCTTCAAATGGATCTTTGCAACTTCGCCCACCAGGAGGCTGCGTGTCAAGATTGCATCCAAATACCGCTCGTGCGCGGCGATCAGCTCATCCAGGTCTGTGGCAGACTGGGAGCGCTGTGTCAGCTCCTCCCACGCTCCCTCCAGCACCTCGAACATTATGTAGTACTGGAGGTTGGTGACAAAATGGGACATCTTGCTCCTCAGCTTGAGGTCCAGTCTGAGCAGCGACCTGGCGCGATCTCCTGATCCAGGCCCGAATGAGTTCAGTATCCTATCCAGGAGCCTGAGCGTGTGCCAGACCTCTGCGAGCGTGTGCTCAGCGTGTTTCAGCTTCCACAGCAGTCTGAACACCCTCAGGTACTGGCTCATCACATTGGGTGTGAAGATGGTGGACAGGGGCTGCATGACATTGTACTCTAGGAAAAATACATCCCAGCCCGTGTCCGTTCCAATCCCACGATCCTTCCTGACCCTCATCCTTTCCAGCACGTCATCGTCTTCGTACTTCGCGTTGGAGGCATGCACGGCGGCCTTCAGGAGCCCGATCAGCGTGATCTCTGACACCTTGCTGGCGTCCTTGTCCAGCTCAGGCTTCACGAAGTCCATCAGTGCCTGTATGAAGTCCCCCTGGCCCAGCAGCAGGTAGCGCTTTATGGCCTCGCAGTGGAGGTAGAAGGAGTACTTGTGATACAGAATGTCCATCAGCCTCTGGTCCACTGATGCTGAGGCGCTGTCCACCAGCTCCTGCAGACTTTCCATGTGGCCGTAGGTCATCGACATCCGCCCTGACGCCTGGGCCTCAGAGGCCCTCTCCTGCACCCACTCCACATCGTCACAGCGCTCCCTCAGAAAATTGATGGTCTTCCCAGCCCTCAGGATCTGCCTCGCCAGCTGCTCGCTCACGTACGCCGGCAGCATTGCGTAATTGATGTGGTACCCGTCTCGCCACAGGTCCACAGAGGGTGGGGGGTCCATCCCCTGGGACAGACCCCCGCTGTCCTGCACGAAGAATTCCTGGTAGGGGTCGTAAAGCTCCCCCTCGAAAACCCACTGCTTGATCATGTCGAACAGTGGCACGCACACCCGCTGCAGGATCCGCGTCAGAAAAGTGTGCGTCGTGGGGTCCCCCTGGTGCAGGTAGGCATACACCGCCCCGGCCAGCTCGCCCCCGTTCTTGTCCTTGGTGCTGTCAATCATCACCGCTAGCAGCCGCATCCGCCTCATGGGCTCCGCCAGCCATACTGCCAGCCTCCTGAGACTGAGGTAGGGCCCCCCCTGGCCGCCCACGCCATTGGGCCGGGCGATTTGTCCCCCCCCCTCGCCGCCGTCCCCCCCGTTCTGCAGCCCCGTGGGGAGCGGGTTGTCCAGCTGGGCCTCCAGCACCGCCATGAGCCTGTAGTAGTCCGCCAACTCCTTGCTGATGGCGTAGCCCAGGGCCTGGCGCACCGATCCCCCGCCCTGGGCACGCCCGCCCTGCAGGTAGCCCTGCACGCTGCGGAACAGCCAGCCCAGCTCGCAAAGGCGCAGGATCAGCCTGGACTGCGCGGGGTCCACGGCGGCCTCGGGGTCGATCGCGAACGACCCCCCGGCGCCCCCGCCGGGGTCGAACCGAATGTGGTTGCCGTCGATGCCCTGGCAGACGTACAGGACGTCCCGGACCAGGGACGACTCCTTCGGGCTGGAGGCCGGCTGCGGATCGCCGTTCTGCGCGATTGGCGCGAGCTGCTTCTGTAGGGCCTGGGAGGTGTGCAGCTGTCGCGGTGGGTGGTGCCCTATCGCCGGCGCCAGCCCGTTGCCGTCCACGACGGCCGCAGGCTGCCGCAGCGCCCTGAGGCCCCCGTCCTGGCACACCCACGACGCCCTCAGCGATGCCTCCGCCCCGCCGCGCTCCCGTCCCCTGTCCTTGGCGACCAGGAACAGCATGAGCAACACGCGCGCCCTGAAGTGGGCTTCCAGACCCATGCGCGCCAACTTGGCGTGCAGCTCGTCGAACCGGGTCGCTCTGCCGTGCTGCCCGGCGCCGCGGACGGCCGCGCGGATGGAATCCGCGACCGCAGCCTCATCTTGCAGCACGCTGAGGCTGACGCCGCTGCCGAGCAGCCGGAGGGCCAGGCCGAGAAGGTGCTTGCGCGCGCGGGGCCCGGCGTCGGGATCGTCGGACGGGGGCAGGCTGGACGCCGCCCGGTCCACCAGCCGGCGCACGAGGTCGACGGAGCTGGAGGCCGCCGCCATGGCGGCGCGCGGGGGCCCGGCGTTGGGCGGCGCCACCCGGCGTGCGCGCGGTGAGGTGCGGGCTGGCCTGGACGGCGGGAGTCCGGCGGAAATTTGGGGAATGTGACAGAAACTGGGGTGGTGGCCGAATTCGCTCCCGTGGGGCCACTGGAGAAACGCAGGGGCTACGACCTTCAGTACTGAGGATTTTTGTTGCAGTCCATCTGTCCCTCCGTGCACAGCGCAAAGCCCCCTTTGGAAGAACGGGTCTTTTCTTCTTCTTTTGTGGTTGTCTCTGCGTTTCTGCTGTGGCCCCGAGCCCAGCAAACTGGGTGCTCGCAGGAGAAGGGGCTTCAAGCAGTAAGATTTGCAGAAAAGGTGCTGCAGATGGAAGGACATGGGCCTCAGGAGAGAGATCGTGAGAGTGATGCGTTTTCGAGCCGGCCGCGCCGCGCTCGCCGCGACGGTGCGCCGCGCCATCGACCTTCGCGATTACTCACTGCATTGGTGCATTTTAGCTGTGCTGGTGTGCAAAGGCCAGCAACAGCTTTGCAACTCGCAAGCTCAAGCCCACAACACGCTGCACGCGTCATAAAGAATGAAAGTTATGTTGCAGAAGGGCAGGGCGCCCCAGATATTTCTCGTCTGCTTTTCTCCTTGTTCTTCTCTCTTTTTCTCCTTTGCTTGAGGTCCCCAAAGGGCCTGAACGGGGCGGAATGGGCACGTTGATAGATCCCTGGCTGATCCGGTGTGGCCCTCCTTCAAAAAGCCGCTGGCCCTGCGGGTGGCGTGGCGCAGCAGGCCGCACGCCCCTCCCTGTCGCCGTCGGCCCGTTCCCCCACCAGCCATGGCTCCCGCCGCCGCCCTGACCCCCCTGCCGGGCGCCCGACTCGACAATGCCCTGCGCCGCGGCCGCCTCAGCATCTTCCGCCCCGTGACGGGGCCCCATAGTCCCCGGGCGGGCAGGGGGATTGGGGTGAGGCTGGGCTGCCGCAGCGCGACCACGATGAAGAGCACCGCCAGGTTTTTGGTTGGCGGCAATTGGAAATGCAACGGCGACAGGGAGTCGATCGTGCGGCTGGTGGCCGATTTGAATTCCGGGGACGTGCCCAGCGACGTCGAGGTGGTTTGCGCGCCACCGTTCGTGTACCTGGACCAGGTGTCCAAGGCCCTGATGCCGCCCTACCAGGTGGCGGCGCAGAACTGCTGGGTGGGCAAAGGGGGGGCATTCACGGGCGAGGTGTCCGCGGAGATGCTGTCCGACTGCGGCGTGGGATGGGTGATCCTAGGCCACTCGGAGCGGCGCGCTCTGTGCGGGGAGGATAGCCAGTTCGTGGGCAAGAAGGTGGCGTACGCGCTGGAGCAGGGCCTTCGCGTGATCGCCTGCATCGGGGAGACCCTGGAGCAGCGGGAGTCCGGCGAGATGTTCAACGTGCTGGAGGAGCAGATGGGAGCCATCGCGGAGAATGTGAGCGATTGGGGGCCGGTCGTGATCGCCTACGAGCCCGTGTGGGCGATTGGCACGGGGGTGGTGGCCACGCCCGACCAGGCGCAGGAGGTGCACGCCTACCTGAGGAAGTGGGTGACGGAAAAGGTGGGCGCAGGCGTGGCCGACTCGCTGAGGATCTTGTACGGGGGGTCTGTGAATGACGCGAACTGCGTGGAGCTGGCCGGGCAGGAGGACATCGACGGCTTCCTGGTGGGCGGGGCCTCGCTGAAGGGGGCGGCATTCGTCAAGATCTGCAACGCCCAATCGGCCGCGACCGTTGGGGCGTGAGGAGCTCTGGCAGCGTCGCGAGATGCCGTTCCGAAGGGCGTCGCCGATCTTCGCGCATCGACGGGCGCCCGTTTCGCCTCTTGACGCTGAGGAGCATCCGGCGGAGCGGGCTGCCTTTGCCGGGCGCTGTTTGGAGGGCATTCGGGAACAGGGTCCTTCGAGAGCGGGAGCGGAACGATGGCCGCAAGGATGCGGCGTTGCCGCATCCGAAGGGGCAGACTGGCGCCTGGGTTCTTATTGGGACTCTGAGAGACGCGGTAAACTGCGCGCAGAAGAGGATGCTCGTTTGATGGTTTAAATTTGGAATGTCGCGACGGTGCAGTTGAAAACCACAGAGGAGCGCTGCTGCTCCGTGAGCGTTGAATAAGAATGACAGCTTTCAGTTAGCATGCCGCGATTGTTGACGCCAGGATGCCTGCAGTTTCTGCGGTTTTGGCTTCCTGCCCGCATGGTTCATAGGCACCTGAACACATGCAACTCAGGAGATCGTGGCTGCCACTGCTGATTGGCCACTAGGCCTCTGCCTCTTTTTGTATCGGGTTGGAGCGGGTTTGCAAGAGTGGTTGCAGGGCTGTCCTGCACGCATTTTATTTGAGAGTTTTCCTTTTTCAAGTATTGGATTTCGCAGTTTAGTTGATACAGGGCAGCCCTGTAGTGGTTACCCCCTTACCAGGTAATTTCTTTGGATGCCCCGCTTGGGACATAGGATTGAACAGAAAAGCGCATGCAAGGGACATTAGCTCACGTTCTGCCACCTCTCGTGTCTGTTTTCTGCCCTCTGTGCAACTTGTTCGGTGCTGCAAGAGAAAGCAGCTCAGGCTGTAATGTCTGCTTGCTGGCATGGCCAATGGTCACCATCGTTCCAAATTGGAACAATAGTTGCAAGTCAAGACGATAGAATACATATTCGGAGGTTGAGATCAACATGTGTCGATGCACATTCAGAGTCACGAAGTCAGGTAAACGAATATGTGGAGTACGCCATGTCACTGGCCTGCATCTTGCATACCAGGCACGCTTGCGTGTGAGGTTTCTCTGTGAGTTGATGGTGGGGCTGACCTGGGAGCTAACATTAGCTCCCATGTTAGCCCCAACGCTACCACCCATGTTGACCTCATCTGCGAGGGTGCCTGATATGCAAGAGTCGGCTTTCCATCGGTTAAGTCTGGGGCTGTCAGTGTCGAACATCTACAGGCTGCTTGCTCAATGGCAGGCTGGGAGCATGCTACCATTCTCCCAAGGCAGATGCCCTTTGGGTGCTGTTGTGGCAGGAGGTCTGGGGAAAGCCATGCACACAGTGGTGGACTGCAGTCTCATCCCATGGATGCTGTGCGCCTGTCCATAGCAGCCGATGGACGCGGTCAATCACAGCAACCAGCATTGAACTACATGTCTGCTTCCAGTTGAGCGGGTTGCGCTTTTGGTTACTGGGATTTCTTGCAGCAAGCCCACAGTCCTGCATTGTTGGGTTGCGTGCAAGCCCTTTCACGCTTGTGCTTGGACACGAAAATACTAATGGATAACACACCCCTAACAGGCAGTAGGTTCATAGCAACAGAAGCTTCTGAAACTGTCTCCACACAAAATGGCAAAAGACAACAACGTATTGGAGGACTGGCGGTCACAGACCCTTACAACGTGCGGCAGTGAATCTGCTGGTGACTGAAAGTACTGCCTGTGTCCGCCGTCTGATGAGGAAGGAGCATTGTGGCTTGCGTAATGTCTGGTTGTTGGGCGTACCACAGCTGTCTGACTTTTGAGGTGCCCTTGCAGCATCAGTGCGGTGAGCTGCACGCGAGAATGCCCGCACGACAACGTCAGGGCTGATGCACAGTTGGCAGAGTGGCGGCAGTCCGACCACACTTGCAAGTGACGTTCCACCGCAAACTCCGTCTTGCAAGTGTGTTGGCACACCGCACATGTTGACTCCGGACCAAAGTTGGGCCGCCTGTCGGAGGAACTAACGATTTGGCGGTGCCAGAAACTGAGAAATTGCCCCTTCCAGACGGATGCTCCACTCGTCGAGGGAAACTGGGCCCCAGGCGCAATTCATCACCATCAAGACTCACGCGCAGTTTTCAAGCAGAAGCACGCTTCAAACATGGTCGAAATCGAAGCAAATGGAATAGGAACGGGCCATGAGGTGTCCAAAGACTTGCGTACTTGTACTCACGATCGTATCCATTGTGTGAGTAAGCTAGCTTACTAAGCTAGCTACTATCTTCAGGAGCGCTCCTGAAGATGCGATACATTATCTGCTTCATTGCTGTGCCTGCCATGTTGTACGTCAAAGCAACCCGAGTCTATTTCAACAATGCGATGCTGAAACAGTGCTTGCTTTCGCCCCCGCTTGCCAACTAGCAAAGGGGCTGCTTTCAGTGGATTATCATCGACAGTATCTTCTGGGAATTGGCAATTCGTAGATTCCGCATATCTACAGTGCAATGCCTTGGATTTCAATGCAGATGTCATAGGCATTGCTTTTTGGGCAAAACGCGGAGCTGATGGTTACCAACTCACCTGAACATGGATGATTTCTTGACAATGAAGATGACGGGCTCTGAACAATCTCCACATTAAGCAGACAGACGTCAATTTCAAGCCATGCATTAAGGGCGCGGGCCCACCCCAAGAGTCTCGGCGGCTGCCCCACGGAAGCTGCTGCCCAACAGGCCGACGGCCTCCATGTGACTTCCCTTGCCAGGGTAGCCCGACGGGCGGCCAGCGAGCATGGCTGGCGCACAGGGCAACTGGCTGGTGGACGCAGTGATTGGGTTCCTTAGGGTGAGAGGTGAACTTCCTTTGCCCCCACCCACCCCACCCCCCACCTCACCGACCCCCACCCCAGTCCGCTCCCGCTTTCCCCTCTCTTCCCCAGACTGAGGTGTAAACAGAGCTCAATGAAAGATAGAGTTCAAACAGATTCTGAGCCAGGTCTGGCGCCGGCCTTTCGGTGTGGATGACGATGGACTTTTCTCAAAAGTTGCCGTTGGCAGCCAACCGCTGGCTGACCCTGCGTTGACCGCTGCCCCACACAGGGGCCCTACTACATCGAGCCTGTGCTTGGTTTTTGCGACGAGAGGTGTGCGGTGTTCGACACGGAGGAAGAGAACAAGCTGGAGTACACAGCGGTGGGGCCTTGCGAAGGGGAGGGGAGGGAAGGGGAGGAGAGGGGAAAGTCAGTATCCGGGCTGCATTTGGCCTGACCTGGATGCGTGAGACAATAGGCAGTTTTTCAACAACTGCCTCCCTCCAAGCTGACAGGGTCACTGAAAACTTCCAGTAGCGTTTTTAAGTGGATGTGGATCTAGTGTGCGAACCAGAGGACTGGTGCCTGTGTCCTGTGGATAGTTAAACAGCCGGGGGTGTGTGTCGCAGGTGCACGAAGATTTCAAAACCCTGGTGGATGACCTTCTGACCAGCTTCCTGGTGGAGATAGGCGCCACAGCCGACCAGTTCTGCGACGTGCTCTCCTCCGCGGCTGCCAACAGCGACCTCAGCTGCTTTTTGGTGGACAGCATCCTTGCCGTCGACGACTTTCCCAAGCTCAAGGGGATGATGGTGCGGCGCAATGTTGAGCTCACCAACCAGGTAAAGGAGCATGAAGCGCACTTTCAGGCAATGTTGCGCTGTCGGTAGAGTCCCTCAATACAAACATCGAGGAGGCCAATTCCATCTCGTTTTTGTTACATACTACCCTATTGCAGAAAAAAATATGTTGCATCCTTTCCAAACGCCAGGAGTGACAAGCTCCTCACAAGTCACAGCCTTGCACTGCTACGGACAGCTGAGGTGCTTGAATGGTCGCGAGCGCAGCATTACACACGATCCACGGACACAAGACGAGTGGTCGGCTCTAAATTCCAGCGAAAGACAGTTCTGTCAACTTTGCACAGCGCGCCGCAAATAGGGGACTTTCGGAGTTCTCCACAACTTTTAAAATTGGAAATGCACGGGAAAGTCCTCGCTTACCTCTGGATCGATGTTGCGTTACCGCCTGGCGACTACTCAGATCGCGAGCTTCCAAACAAATTGACGCTTTAGGGGTGATATTCCTGTGGGAGTTTCAAACAGCAGCTGCGGTTTTGCTGTGGGTAGTCTCACCCTCATAAGCTGGAATAGGCGTCGCCGCAGGCCCTCCCCTCCGCAGTGTCCAGGCCTGTGCCGATTCCACGTCGCATTCTTTGTGTGGATTGTAACTACCATACTATTGTGCTATATTTCTAGTAGTCCTGGTACACTAAGAGTGCTGGCATACCACAATCGTAACAGTATACCCATTCATGGATCTCCAAGGCAATAGGAAGCTGCGCTCCTCGTCAAGCGACTACGCTACTCCGTGAATGACTCAAAGGCATTTTGCAGCCTTGGATTGCCTGTGAAGATGCCATCATGCGGGTTGTTGCTTTTCATTCTTTGATGCTATAATCACGCTGAGTGCTCGAGGGAATATTACGGATAGGTCAGGGGCTGCCCGGGTTCTTCTTGGCTGACGTTAATTGCGGTGGATTACACAATACGTGACCGTCGAGCCCAGGGAACGTTCCCCCAATGCAGCATTGTTCTGATTGTAAAACAAAGTAAATAACTCTTTCATGCAGCAAAATCTATTGAGATCTAGACTTGGATTGAATAAAATAGACTATAATTCCCTAAACTCTGCACACACCTGCCAGCGAGTCTTTCTGTGAGAATTTGGAGATATCCGTGAAGAGGGATCGCGTGCATCACCCCGCACTTCCGCTAATTGTATATATAAGCGTGATGTGCGTTTCTGGCTGCGGGTGTTGATAGTGGCGATAGTCCCATTGTGTACACCCAAGCATTTACGCATGCTTTAAGCGCAGATTGGCAAATCCTAATACATTTTGAAATGCAGCTTGAACATGTTTGCGTTTCGAAAATCTGGACGCACTTCAACGCTTACATCAAGGGTCAAGTGAACTCGCCTCAAAATGTAAATAACAGCCCTGACACATATCCATCCTTTGCGAAGTTTT